GGGAGACAAGTAGGAAGCTTAGAGCAAACAGGATGTCGGGCTTGTAGAAAGGAAAAAGCCTCTGTGCTTGAGCGGGGAGGTGAAAGGGAATGTTAGAAATAAGAAGACATCTTTCAAGAAGTTGAAGTTGTCTGAATGAGGAAAGTGGGGCAGAAAAAGAATGTAAATCCTGCCAGGCTGAAAGTAAAACCCCAGTAAGACAGGAGCAGTAAGACAGCTTGAGGAGCAACTTGCAAAAGCATAAAATCCTGTTTATTCATTTTCCGAGTGTATCAGACAGAAAGTCTTTCAGGGTCAGTAGTAGATCAAGGTAGAGAAAAAGCACTTGGAGAAGATAAGTCCATAAGAGAAGAAAGAAGTGACTGCCTTTGTGTTTGCTGGGGAGGAATTTGGGTTAGTTCCTGTCCCCGAACTCTGCTTTTTGGGGAATGGAATTTCTGCAAAAAGCAGCCTTTAACTTGGAAAAAGGAGGTAGGTACATGGAACTGAGGGGGACAAAAAGGAATAGAATCATAGAATGCTGATTCCAGTGGGATGAAGTTCAACAAGGCCAAGTGCCGGTTCCTGCACTTCGACCACAACAACCCCCTGCAGCGCTACAGGCTGGGCACAGAGTGGCTGGAGAGCAGCCAGGCAGAAAGGGACCTGGGGGTGCTGATCGACAGGAGGCTGAACATGAGCCAGAGTGTGCCCAGGTGGCCAAGAGGGCCAATGGCATCCTGGCCTGCATCAAGAACAGTGTGGCCAGCAGGAGCAGGGCAGTGATCCTTCCCCTGTACTCGGCACTGGTGAGGCCACCCCCTGGAGTGCCCCTCAGTTCAGGAAGGATATTGAGGTGCTGGAGCGGGTCCAGAGAAGAGCAATGAGGCTGGTGATGGCACTTGAGCACAAGTCCTATGAGGAGAGGTTGAGGGAGCTGGGGTTGTTTAGTCTTGAGAAAAGGAGGCTCAGGGGTGACCTCATCACTCTCTACAGCTTCCTGAGAGGAGGTTGTAGCCAGGTGGGGGTTGGTCTCTTCTCCCAGGCAACCAACAATAGGACAAGAGGGCACAGGCTCAAGCTCTGCCAGGGATGGTTTAGGTTGGATATTAGAAAGAAGTTCTTTACAGAGAGAGTGATCAGGCATTGGAATGGCCGCCCAGAGAGGTGGTGGATTCACTGTCCCTGGAGGTTTTTAAGATGAGGCTGGATGTGGCACTGGTTCCTTCCAACCCAGTTAATTCTACGAATGGTCTGGGTTGGAAGGAACCTTAAAAATCCAGTCAGGTTCCACCCCCTGCCATGGACAGGGACACCTTCCACTAGCCCAGGTTGCTCCAAGCCCCATCCAACCTGGCCTTGGACACTTCCAGGGCTGGGGAAGCCACAGCTTCTCTGGGCAACCTGTGCCAGGGCCTCCCCACTCACTCCCCAAATCCAATTTAAACGTACTCACTGTCAGTTTAAAACCATTCCCCCTTGTTCTGTCGCTCCAGGCCCTTGGAAATAGTCTCTCTCTCTCTTTCTTGTTGGCTCCTTTAAGTATAGAAAGGCCACAATTAGGTCACCTCAAAGCTTCTCTTCTCCAGGCTCAACAATCCCAATTTTCTCAGCCTTTCCTCTCAGCAGAGCTGCTCCATACTTTTGATTATCTTAGTGGCCTCCTCTGGAGCTGGTTTCCTGCTTTTCCCAGTACAGGATGGGATCAGCACATCAAATTAGGAATGGGTCCAAAGCAAACCCACGTAAAATCTCCAGAATACTGAAAAATGTTCGTGTTTATTGGTGTTCAGAAATTAATTGCATAAACTCATGGAAAAAGTCCAGCAGGGGCTGCTCAACACCTGTGCCACTTTTGGCTTAACAAATTCCAGAGGTGAGCTGATCCCAGAGGGCTGGGATGCTGTTCTGGAGCTGCTCTTGGGCATCTGAGCAGTGCCAGGGAGCCTGAGCTGTGGGACACCCTGTGACTGCTGGGCTTATCAAAACCACCTCAAAAGTTAATTACCAACAACAAGAATTATTTAAGGAGTGTTCATAGGTGCATTTTTTTCCCCTCCATCCTTTCTCTTCCAGGTACTGTCAGAACAGAATTTTGAGTCCTTAGTGCTTAAACATTGCTTACTAATACTGGTTTTTCTCCCTTTTCAGACAGTTTTTAATCAGGAGGTAAGTGGAAGCAGCCCTGTGGAGCAGGGTGGTCGTGCTGGTGGGATGGGGAAGTTTGTATGGCTTCTCTGACTCCACCAAGTTCTGCCTTTGGGGTTCATTATCATCATATTCCCTTGGTAAAAGCCTTCTCTTCCTGGTCCAGAGGGTTCAGGAGCCAGGCCTGGCTCTTCCTGGTATATCTGGAGGCTTGTTTGGGTAGTACAGGTAAGGTAGAAGCATAACACTGTAAACAAATGTGATTTTTCCATACTTCCCATTGATCTTTTGGTTTCAGGGATCAGAGGAAACGGCTCCAGACGTTAGTAGAAAACAAGTTCTATGAGTGGCTGGTCCAGACAGGGAACCGGCAGCAGCTGGACAGCTTGGTCCCCCTTGCCATGGGATCCAAGCAGGCAGCAGGATAACATCCCCTTCCTCAGCACAGAAGGAAAGGAAGAGTAAGTGAAAGGCCTGTTCCTCCTGGTTCTTCTCTACCTGCAAGAATTGTGCCATGCTTGCGTGCAGAGCCAAGGCAGAGGTAGAACAAGCTGTTCAGTGAATGTTCTCCCCAAAGCCTTGCATTTGATTTTAGTTCTTATTTTACTGTCAAAACCCCCTTTTTCAGTGGAAATCTGTGTCCTCAGCACCTGCCTTGTTGTCAAATTTGGTTTGTTGGAGACATCTGTAAAGGCACAACATGGACATGTTGCACATAATGGGGTGTCCAACTGGTTGGAAGAGATGTTCCTTTAGAGGAACTGTGTGGATTGATGTCTATGTACACATCTCACCTTTGCTGAAGAGAACTGGGTGAGACTGTGGGTATTTCTTTCTTTGTAGTGTCTCTTCCCAAGCAGAAGTGGTTTAGGAGCTGGAGAGCTGCCCTTATCCTGCTTCTCTGCCATGGCATGTTTCAAACCATCAGAAAGCTGGTTTATTTTTGGTTTGGTCTTGGAATTCCTTTTTCTTTGCTAGTGTTGGGAGTAAAATCTGCTCCTTTTATTTTGTTCCAGAGCTCAGGGAACAGGCAGCAATACCCCCAACTCAGGCTCATTAAGACTTTGTGGCCATCCTGCCTGGACCCGCTGGATCCAACACCCAGCCTTGGACTGTCTGGCTGCTCTAGGATTCCTGATCACTGCTGCCTTCCCAGGAATGTGCTGTACTTATCCTGTTGGTGACTGAGATGGCACTGGAGGATGATGAAGTTGTGCCTTGTTGCAGAGCTGACCTCATGGTGGGTGTCCGTGTGTGCAGGTATCCAGCACACCAGGGATCCTGGGACAAAGCTGGATGCAGGGCCCTGGGCATCACCTGCATTTCATGGTACAAACCAGCTGCACTGGTTTTATAAATGTGAAAAAGAAGTGTTTGACTTTTTTATGAATTCAACCCAGTAGGTTTTTTTAATATGAAGATGGCACTTAAATGATGGGGGTTTTATGGGACGAACTTTTGTAAGCGCTGGGATTTTATGGAATGAACTTTTGTACATGGTTGCATTGTTTTGACAACTGTCAATAAACCAGAGTTCTTAGATAAACCTGGCACCTGTCCTAGAGAAGGGCTGTTACCTGCACAGAGGGTGTTAGAGGGACACAACACCTTTAATCTTAATGAAATGGGAACCAGTCAGTGAGAGAAAAATCCTCATTTCTTGCCAGCCATGGAGCTGAAGGGTTCGAAGGCTGTCCTGGCACAGGGTTTTGATACAAACACTGTTGCTGCTTTCCATATTTCTCATAAAGAATATCAGCTTGACTAAGCACCATTCTCCTGTGCTGGTGAGAGCTGTTATAGGAGATGTACTTGTGACTGAACACCTAAATAAACTCAGAAAACAGAGAAAGGCACCACCAGCTGCTGCTTCCACTCATCCATGCAATGCCTTTGGAAGAGCTCTCCAAGTTGAGAGCCAGAGGAAGGCACATTGCTCTGTGCGCACAGCTTCAGAATCCTTCTGAGGGTCTCCCTTGGCTCCTGGGCTGGCAGGTGGGGTGAGTTTCTTATATTTATTATATTCATGTGAGGTGAACTTAAAAGATTTAACCAACTTTTAAAGGAGGAATGTGTGAAGAGACCACACCTACTGATAGAACCTGGCTCATGCTTGAACTGTGATCTCCATAAAACAGCATTTGGGTTCAAAAATGAATAAATTCAACCGAAAGCAACAGCAGTGGGTGATTAGAGGCACCTAAAATGGGAAGAGGAGCTGCTGCTGGGCATGTGTGCCCCAGGCTCTCGGATCTGCCTGCATTGAGTGGAGCTGCTGTTGCGAGAGTGCTTGTCCTGACAGATTTGAAAGAGGGGTTGCGTTTCGGGCGCTGCTGTGCCAAATTCGTGTCCCTTTGTCTCCCTAAGCCTCTGGGCTGGGGCACTGAATAGCTGCAGAGGTGGTTTTTCATAATGCCCTGGCTGAGGGGTGGGTGTGTGTCAGCCAGCCAGCCTTGGCCTCCCTGCTCTGCACCCGGAGTGTGGCTGGAGGGGAAAACGCCTTTGCTCCAACCTCAGGTGGTGGCGGGGAGAGTTTGGAGTTGGATTTGTGGCACCTGCACAGACAATCAGGAGTTTGGGCAGCATTCTTTACTATAGGATGTGTGGAAGCACTCGCCACCCATCCTTCATTCCTTCTGTGTCAGGTGCTGTTTGGAGCACTGTGGATCAAGCTGAAGATGTCCTGAGAAAAGCTGCACAGATGTTTCCACTGAGAGCTTTCAGTGCAGGGCTGTGCTTTGCAAGCCTGTGGCGTGTGCCCCGAGCACGTGTTTGCTATTCCCTAACTGCATCCTTCGCTGCACAGAACATTGCCTCATAAATACTGGGTCCCCTCCTTATGAAGAGGGGTGGTCCTGCGATCCAGTGAGGATTCCTTCTGCTTTAACAAGCTGGGAAGGGAGGGAGCAGCCAAACTGCCTCCCGTGCTCCCAGGCTTGGCAGGGGGCTGTGTATTTTGAGTGCATTTGGCAGAGTTTTGGTGTTCTGACTCAGCAAATGGGAACAAAGGGAGGATGGCGAAGCCTTCCTTTATTCCATAATCCTGTTTGCTTTTCTGGAAATCGGCTATAGCCTCAGAATTACTGACTCAATTTTTGGATCCTATTCTCATGACAAAGCGGCTGTCTGGTTTAAAACAAGCCCGTTATAAAAAGGGCACCTCGGCTCCTGGCTGTTCGTAACAGCTCCTGACATTCCTCCGGCACAGGGGAGCTTGGCTGGAACGGAAAATGTCCAGAGCTGGAACCAAGGTAAGTTGATTTGCAGTATATTCATGATTTTGGGCAAAAGCTCAGAATTCATCAGGGATAAGTTGTGGAGAAACTTTGTTTTCTTTGCTCTGCTGACAGCTTCCCCCTTTGCCAGCGAGTGGGCAAGAGGAGAAGCCTCAAATCCCTCCTCACGTGAGGGGAGCCCCTCCCAAGTTTTTTCCCAGGTTTTGGCTGGTTCCTCTGGGTGTGGCTCTGCCAGAGGATAGAGTTGAGCATAGTGACTGGTGAGGGGACATCTTAAATGATTTTAAATCAGCAGGAGCTGATGCCTTGTAAATTGGGGGCGGAGGGTGCTGTGACAGCAGGGAATGCGATGACCTGGGTTTGCAGAGCGGAGTCTCCTGGAAGGCTTCCTTGGGAGAACCTGACTCCCAGCACCAGGGGCAGTTGCCACATCCCTTTTCCATGGTGGAGCAACAGAAAGACTCCTGAACATCAGCCATAGCACCAAAGGGAATAGTATTCCCTGCGGGATGCAAACTGGCCTTGGGATTCAGTGGAATTGGCAGGGGTGAATTTAAACCGGACAAGGAGGTAGATCAGGGAGCTCAGCTTCAGCTGGAGTGCTGTGTCAGGTGGCGATCCAGCTCTGGTGCTATGTTCCTCAGCCTTGAATTGAGCAGAGCTGGTTGGTGGCCTTGTGGCAGGGTTGGGACCGGGCAGGGAAAAGCAGCTGGGACAGGGAAGGAGGTTGAGAGCCTTGGAGTGGTGGCCAGTTTCCCCCATGGAATGTCAAACACCTGTTAAGCAGCTGTGGGCAGAGGTTCTAAGCTTTGCTTTTGAGTTGGATTCCTTCTAAGCTGTGGAGGCTGTAAGAACCAAGGGGGTATGGGAAGCACAGCGGGTTTGCAGGCACCAGGTGATGCTGTGGATGATCCAAATTGGATCTCAGCTTCTCCGCACTCCTCTCAGCTCTGATCTTGGCACAAGGCTTGGCTGTTAGTCTGGAGATCCGAGAAGGGCGTGCTGGTGGCTCTGGGGTCTCAGGGGTACAGTTTTTCCGTGTCCACACCTAAAATGAGTGCCGGGGAATTGTAACTGATCCATCCTCGAGTCTCCTGTCCCTTGGAGAGCCTTAAGCACAGCCTACCCAAAGCTGTGTCCCCTCTGAGTGTGCCACATGGATTATGTGCTGCTGAGGTGCAAGATGCCCAGGAGGAATTATCTCATCTTTTCTCTATCCTGTTTAGCACATTCCAGGGAGAAGAAAATCACAAAGGAGAGAATTAAACACCATTTCTCACAACCTCAGCGGGTGATCTCCCCTGGAAAGGGGTCACTGCTGACACAGAAGGCAATGGCACTGCTAGATTTGTTTTTAAGAGTTTCCTTTCAGTTGAGCTGCTGTTGGGAAGAAATGTGTGATAACTGAGGTGAGGTGACCAAGGGAGTAAGAGTTTTACTCCCATAAGGAACATCTGCTTTGGTAAATGTGGCACCTGCCAGGTAAGCCCCAAAAAGGGAAGATTTGGGGTACAGAGAGGTTAAATATAAGCAGAGCACCTTGAGGGTTTTACTGAAGGAAGGTGATTTGCCTGAGGGTCAGAGTCTAGAATTGAAGTCTCTAGTTCTGTCATTATTCTACGGGTGAAAACACCAACCTGCCTTGTTTGTACATGAATTCCCGAGGAAAACTGGGAAGAGAAAGTCTGAAATGAGTTGAGGGTGTGTGCGAAGGGCTGTGGTAGAGAATGGGTGCGCAGAATTCCCCCTCTCCTTAAGTCTTCCCAGAATAAACCAAGGAACAGCACTTTGGTTGGTCACAGTTCTGTGGGAAAAGCCATAACCTGGATGTGTTCTTGGAAAATGCCCTCCTGGGAACACCAGGGAGCTTTGCCAAGGTCCAGTTTGGCTGTGTTGGGCTGGATGGGGAAGTAACATCATTAAATCCTGGAATGGTTTGGGTCCCATTCAGTTCCACCCCCTGCCATGGGCAGGGGCACTTTCCATTATCCCAAGTTGCTCTAAGGCTCATCCAGCCTGGAGAAAGACACTTCCAGGGATCCTTCTGCCCAGAGACCAGACCCCTGGTCTTACAGATGTTGGGCAGAGCTCACCAACAATGCTGGACGCTCTGCATGGACAAGGGTGGGACTGTGGATCAGAGCATGGGGAATGAGTATGGAGAGGGGGAGAACTCCTCAGCCATCCCAGCAGCACATAATGGCTGAGCTGGGAAGAGAGGGATCCCTGTGGAGGGTGTTAAGGGATATGGTGGCTTCATTGACCCCTGGCCTCAAGAAGACGCTGATGCCAAACCTCTGCGAACAGGGCTTTTGGTGTTGCCTCCGGGTCATGCTGGCAGATTTTCCAGGTGGTGCCTCTGGGGACAAAGATCCAGAAGCAGGATCTGGACAATGGCAGTGGACTGTGGCCGGGAAGGCCTGGCTGTGGTCAACTGCCCAAGAGTGGCAGTGTGGGAAAACAGGAACTGGGCATTTCAGTGCACACCTTTCACAGCCTTTATTCCCTGTAGGAAAGGTGGTAGCGATTCCCAGCTCTCCACTGCAGGAAGGTGGGAAGAGCTCTCTCAGGAGGGAGAAATGTGGGGACAGATTGTTTTGTACTCACCAACTGCTTCGCAGTGAGAGATCAGTCCTTGAAATTAAGAGGAAAATGTGAGTGAAATAACATTATCCCAAGAAATGTCCACTGACATGAATCCTCTGGCAGGATCAGTCCGAGTCCCCAGATACCTGGTCAGGCTGGTGCGACACGCTGACCAACCAGCTCCAGGAAAACTGTGGCTGACTTAGTTTTTAACACAAAATAAATGATTGAAAATAAAAAGTGAGTGAGTTGTCTCAGGTTTGGTTTGAAACCATGACAATGAATGATGTTTTTAACAGTGGGGATGCTACCAGGAGCCAAAGGACCATGGGTGAGGTACAGCCAGGCAGGAGCAAGAGGAATCTTAATATCCAAGCTGTGGAAAAACCATGGGGAAAATGGATTGTGGGATACTGAATGTTGGGTGTTTAGATCTTTAGAGCACCTGGTGTCCTGAGCAAGCAAGGGATGTGTCAGGGGAGACGTGATAGCTCAGGAATCCTTATTGAAGAGAGCAGCTCTTGTAATTGTCAGCTGAGCTGATATGAAAATGGAGCTGGAGAAAGGACTGCTCTGGTTGAGGCCTTGGCAATATTCCATGAAGGGGTTTTTAAGGAAAAATGGGTCGCCTCTCCAGGGCTGGCTGGGTGATGCCCTGGGATAGAGGAATGGAACTTGCTCACCAGCTCTCGAGATTATTTCCAAGCAGGCTGTGATCAAGTCAGGGGATAAAATGTCCCCAAACAAAGTGCTTTGGGGTCAGCCTGGCTGTAGAACAGCTCCTGGGAAAGAAATGTGGTGTTGAATTGGGAATTTGTTGGCTGTATTATGAGCTTGCAGCAGAACAATGCAATCCTCGGATGTCCAAAGATCTCTGGTACTCAATGTCCATGGAATGCTCCTTTAGTTTCTCTTGGCACAGGCAAAGCTTGTGTGATGTCCAGTTTTTGGCAGTGAGTTTTGAGAATGGAAGTTGGGGGTTGTTGGAGCAGGAACAAAGAGAATGGGTTGAAAGGCATGGCCTGTGAGCAAAGAGACCTCACCTTGTCAGTGAAGGTCTCACTGCAAACAGTCGGTGAGCCAGTATACAGGAAATCATGGAATCATGAAGGCTGGAAAAGCCCTCAAAGGTCATCAAGTCCAGCTGTTAACCCAGCACTGCCAGAGCCACCACTAACCTGTGTCCCCAGAAATGCTGCTTTGTACAGTCCATTGACTTCTCACGGCTCCCTTAGCTGTAATTTAGTAACTCCTGATCTAGAGAAGGTGGGAGGGAATTATTTTAATAGAGTTTTGCTGGAAACAGGACAGAAACTTCACCAAAGGAGAATTGGATTGGATTCTTCACAGAGAGAGTGATCACCCATTGGAATGGGCTGCCCAGGGAGGGGGTGGATTCACCATCCCTGGAGGTGTTTGAGTTGAGACTGGATGTGGCATCAGTGCCATGGTCTGGGAACCACGGCAGGGTTGGATGGAGGGTTGCACTTGATGAAATTGGAGGTCTTTCCCAGCCTGGCTGATTCTGTGATTCTGTGATTCTGTGATTGGGACAGAATGAGGGACTGGGAAAGGCAAGACATTGGTGGCAGCTGAAGGCATTGGGGCCAGACTGGTGAACTGGCTGCAGTTGATCCTGCTCAGGGGTTGGGCTTGATGATTTTTGACGTCTCAAAGGCTCTGTTTTCAGATGTTTCATGCTGTGATGAGGCTGGAATTTGGATGTGCTGGGACAAGGAACCTCCCCACTTCCCTTCCTCTGCTTGTTTCAGGTCACCTTCTATGAAGACAAGAACTTCCTCGGCCGTTACTACGAGTGTGACAGCGACTGCCCCGACTTCCACACCTACCTGAGCCGCTGCAACTCGATCCGTGTGGATGGAGGCACCTGGGTGGCCTACGAGAGGCCGAACTATGCCGGGAACATGTATGTACTGACGCATGGCGAGTACCCCGACTACCACCACTGGATGGGCCTCAACGACCGCCTGGGCTCCTGCAAGTACATCCAGATTGTAAGTGTCACCTCCTCCCAAAGGATGTTTCAATTTATTTATCAGGGAAGGGTTTCATGTGGGTGGCCTGGCCCCTATCTTCCTGGGGACCCATGGAGAGGGGGGCTGCGGGATATTTGTTCCTGCAGTCCTGCTCTGGGAATGGCAAAGTGTTTGGAGAGGCGAGAAAGTAAATCTTTCCCACTCTGGACTGCAGAACCCTTTGAGTGAGGGGGTGTGTTTCCATGGGAACATCAGCCTGGTTTAATCTGCATGTTCCTTTAGGGACTTGAGTGTCCAGGCAGGTCGCTCCAAGGTTTGCCTTTTCCCTGGTGTGCTGCTAACTGATCCAACTGATGGTGGGCACAAGGCCCGTAACAGTGGGAGGCAGATTTTGCAGGGCCAGTTTGTTCTTCTCTGGCAAACCAAGGCTCCTTTCTGACTCAGGGAACTGTCTCTCAGTGTCATCAAACCCCTCTGGGCATGGAGAGACCAGCCTCAGGAGCAGCCCTGGAGTGCCCAGCAGTGGGAAGGATGTCTGGAGCCCTCGGGCATGCTTGGAGCAGCCTGGTTATCTCCTGGTGTTAGGAGTATATCTCCCAGCTGCAGCACAGGAACTGTGCTCATCCCCTCCAAAATGATGATTGGGAGGAAGGAGCAGAGGGAACGATCCTACTGGAAAACCTGTGGGGAGGAGCACCCTTTAGACCTATCAGTGTGGATTGGTGGTGCTGCTGAGGTTTTGCCCGCAGTGGGACAGACACTGGTGATCCGTGCGCAGCTGGCTTGGAGCGCAGCCACAAATTCCCACTGCATGGAGCAGGTCTCACAGCTGTTTTCTTTTTCTGTCTGGAGGTCTAACACCCCTCTGAGTCTGTTCTGGGTTTGAGCTGGGTCTGAATCCCTTTGCAGAGGGCAGGGAGTGTTTCCAGCCCCTTCAGAGCACTGATTTGGCATAAGAGATGAAGCCAACACACGTGGGGGATGTAACACAGCTTCCCTCAGCAGGATGAAAGGCGGGAGCCTTATCCTGCACATCCACCTGGTACCTGGCTTTCCCTCCTGCCCTGGGGGAGACCCTGAGACCCTGCAGAGCACGGCGAGGAGGGAGTGGGTTGGGTTCGGAGGGCCGGGGAGGCGGGGCAGGGGTATCCAGGCAGCTGCAGATTAAAAGCTGCCGCGGTGCCTTCGGGCAGAGCAGCGCTTCAAATCCCGGTGGGAAACACCCGCCCTGCTGCAGTACGGCCCAGCTGGGGTCAGCGGCTCGTTAAACTCCTCGCTGCTGGAGGAGCCGGGGATGGAGGGAGGTCCGTCTCTCCGGATGCTCACAGGGACTGGCTGAAGGGCTCAAGCCTGCCCCGGGATAGCGATCCTGGCACTGCTGACTTGGCCTTATCCCTATCCCTGCCTGCAGCCTTCTCTCTGCAGAGCCAGGGCTGGGATGGGGTTTGAGCTGGAGCTGCTCTGCTCTGGCTTGGTGCTTCTGTCTCCTCTGTGCACATCAAAATTTACCCCAGCTGCCTCCCCCCGGCGCTTTTGGGGTCTGACATAAGCTGTTCAGCCCTGGCCTGGTGTGCTGGGGTGTGGCTTGGACCTGGTTTGAGTCTGACTGTGTCCCAGCTCTGCTCCCACATGCTGGTGACTGTTAGAGCCAGGACTTGTGGGTATCTCCCTCCAACACTTTGCCATCAGGTTGCCCAGAGAAGCTGTGGCTGCCCCATCTCTGGAAGTGTCCAAGGCCAGGTTGGATGGGGCTTGGAGCAATCTGGGATAGTGGAAGGTGTCCCTGCCCACAGCAGGGAGTGGAACTCTATGATCTTTTTGTCCCTTCCCACCTGAATCATTCCATGATTTCATGACTCTGTCCCTTTTTTCCAGCCAAGTGGAGGCCGGGGTCACATCCAGGTGTTCGAGAAGGGCGATTTCGGTGGGCAGATGTTCGAAGCCACCGAAGACTGCCCCTCTGTCATGGAGGAGTGGCACATGCGTGAGGTGCACGCCTGCAGGGTGCTGGAGGGCGTCTGGGTTTTCTACGAGCACCCCAACTACCGGGGCCGGCAGTACCTGCTTCCCAAGGGGGAATACCGCAAGCCCGTGGAGTGGGGAGCGGCCAGTCCCGCCGTCCAGTCCTTCCGCAGCATCTCCGAGTGAGCCGAGCCCATGGGCTGGGCTGCCACAACCCCCAATAAAGCAACAGAGTAGCTCAGCTCCTCCTTGTCCTGCTCATTCCTGGGATCTGCGTGCGGGTTTTCCTGCCTCGGGGCGGGGGGCTGGGGTGGAGCTGAGCCTGCTCCAAGCCAAGCATCCCCCCACCAGCCGCTGTCTCTGCTGCCATCCCCTTCCTCCACGCCCCTAATCCTTTCCATCTCACTGCTCCTCTCTAGGAAAAAGCCACCCCAAAGCTGGAGCTCATGCCCCAGCATTTGTCCCACTGCTCCACTGGATTGGCTCACACATCCCCAGTTTTCAGTGCTGGTCGTGGATGGCTCAGTCTGTCATGTCCCTGTGGAGTCCCTGCCTGCTCTACTGCTGCTCCACAGTATCCTGGGAGAAAGGACGAGGCTTTCATCCATGCCACGTGCCCCCCTGGAGACCCTGAGCAGCAGATGTCCTGGGGGAATGTGTGCCTCTTGCGATGCACGGGGCTGTGGGACTGGGAAAAGGTGGAGATGGGAGATTGGAATCCCAGGTGGAGTAGGAAAGGGTCAGCCATAATCCCCATGGGGAATGCTGGGGACCTGGTAGACCTGTCAGGCACAGGATGTCCCTTGTGGGCAGGAGCCGAGGGGTCCCCCTGCTTAAACTGGGGCTGAGCACTTCATGAAGCTGGGCAGCTGGAAGTAGGGGAGGGGCTGGATGTGGGATAGAGGCAGGGAGTGTCTCTGAGGGCTGCCTGGGATGGGAGGTAGCTGCTGGAAGATCTTGAAGGGCCGGAAGAGCTCCTCGGGCACCTGAGATGTGCAGGAAGCAGACGGGAGTGTTGAGCTCCTAGTCTGCCAGCAGGAACATCCCGTTTTTCCCAATGCTGCTGTGTGTCAGGCTGGTCCCACGCACAGCCTCCCGAGCAGGAATAATGGATGCCTGGGCACTGTCCCCTGGAGATCTGCAGCCTGTTTGCACACGGAGCCCGGGGGCCTCGGGATAATGACGCTGGACGTGGAAGCAGAACCCTTCCAGCCACGCTCCGCAGTCTCTCTCCGGGTGATGTATGAGGTCATTAAGGAGCAAGAGGCAGGTTAAGTGATGTCCGTCAAACCTCGGCGCTGCCACCCCCCGGGAATGCCAGCAGGAAACAGGAAGGGCCTGCCAAGAGGAGCAGCTCCCGCCCCCTGGACTTCCCCCAGCACCAAGCTGGGCTGAAGAGAGTAACCTTCTTCTTCCTCCTCCTTCTCCTCCTCCTGTCACTCCCGTCCTGTCACCCCCCTCCCTCAGCCCCCTGCCCCATTCCAGCCCTTCCCTGTAGAGGGTGGTGCATCTTCCTCACTAACTTCCATTCATCTTCCATCTCCATCCCGGATCAGCAGGATGCAGGTGATCTGGCATTACAGTTCTCAGTGTATTTTCCCCCAAAATATTCCTCCAGGACTAACCAGCTTCCATCTCCAGCCCCCCTTCTCCCAGCAAAGCTCTCCAAGTGTTTCTAAGGGCAGCAGCTTGAGCACAGCTCCTGTTTCTTTTTCAGGGAGCCTGTTGCCATCCCCATTTTGGATGGAGAATCTCCTTCAGGCAGGTGTGCTCTGCCCAGTGCAATTCCAGCCATGCTCCCCCCGGATTTTGAGGAATGCTTAGTTGGGAAGCGTGTTGCCCACCCTACATCCCCTGCAATGGGGTTTGTGGGCGCTGGAGATGCAGTGGGTGCGTCTGGGGCACATCCATCCCAGAGCATTGAAGGAGCCAGACCTGGATCTGCTTTACCCTTAAGGTAACATTTTCCCATGTCCTTCCCTTTCACTGCTGATCTACTCACGTCAAAATCCCAGTTATCCCAACTCTTCCCTGCTCCTCCTCATCCTCCTGGCTCTTGCCCTTGGGTGAACATTGCGTTGTGCCCGCAACGTTGGCAACCAACATGAATAACAATAAAATATTCTACTTGGCAGGGGGAGTTGATTATTGTTTTTTATTTTATTATTCTTCTAGATGACTTTTTCCGCTGGGGGCTCCCTTGCCACGGCAGCACACGGAGCAGGGCACCCGTGGAGATGAGCAGGGAGCGCAGGCAATCCAAACCCAGCCTTGCTGACGCCGGTTTTTCCTTGACAGCTAATTTCCATTTCCCAGTATCAGGGGATCTGCTCTGGTAATTGGCATGCAGATTGTGTCCATGGGCCTCTTAGACATGGGCAAAGACTCTGCTCGTTGGAATAAGCCAACCGCAGGCTGATGGATGGAGTGTAGGGAGGTCATGGCGGGGGAGAATATCCAGATGCCCATGCGTGCACACTCCTATAAAATTCCCCATTCCATGCCCTCCCCCCATCCCTACTTTCTTTATCCAGCAAACTCTAATCTATCGTATTGCATTGAGAGAAATCCTGCTCCATTTCCCTCTCTTTCCTTTTTTCTCTCTAAGGGGAATGTGATGGAACCTCCTCCTGGATTTTGTAAGGAGATGGTGCAGGAATTAAAGTGGTGCTGTGCTTCATTAGCAGCTGGTGATCACACGGAGCTGCCCCAGATGTTAATTACACTTTGGGAGTTAATTGGTATAAGGCTTTCCTCTCCTCCATCGTCTGTAATCCGGTGGGGGTGTGAGGACCTCTGGAAGCAGAAACTGGCAGGCTGCTGTCTGTCCCCCCTCCTCAGCCCACCCAGCGCTGGCCGTGACCGAGGGACACAGGCTTGGAAATCTTGGAGTCACTTTCATTTCCATCCCCTTGGTGCCCAGAGACCTACTGTTATTTTTTTCCTCTTTTCCTTCCTGTGCTGCTCTGCTCCAAGCTTTCTCTCCAGGTGCTGGGGAGAAGCAGGTCCAGGTGGGATGGGGGAATGGTGGGAGGTGGCTTCATGCTGAAAGAGGAAAGAATGGCCCTGTCAAAGCTGGTCATTCCCAGGGGATCCCTTTCTCCTGCTCCCTGATCCATCTTTTCTGGCCCATCCCTTCCCTCCAGCTCTGGGGAGAGATGGAAGAGTCTCAATCTGCCCCCACAGCATCTCTGCTGCTGAAATCCCCCCAGTTCTCAAAGGAAAATGGTCTCCATTTTCCTCCCTCCCCTTTTCCACCTTGGACTGAGCCTGATAAAATGCAAAAGCTGCTAAAAAGCTGAGGGGGGGGCTTTGTGCTGGAGGGCAGAAATTATAAGCTTGGAAATGAGGAATATTCCTCTGAATGCTGCCAGTTTGTTCCTTTTTTTTCTGAGCTGGCTGGCTGTGGCCCAGCGTGGGACAGGGATGGAGCTGCACATCCTCGCATTCCTGCCTGGAGATTCCTGTATGGCCCCAGTGGGACACTTGCACTCAGCTTTACCCTCCCCAAAATTGCTCCCAGGCCCTAATGGTGGGACATAGAGCTCTACCACTCTGGTGTAACACAACCAGCCCCCACTCCCATGTTTTCCCTCCTCTTCCAGTGCCCTCAGGGCTTTGTGGGTCTTGGTGTTATTGATGCTCTTCGATCTTGAAGCATCAGCAGCTCAATGCACCTTTTCCCTGCCATTAATTGATGAGACACAGTGTCCCTTCAATTCCACCCCTGGAAGGGTTCAAAAGACCTGTGGATTTGGCAGTTTGAGGTGGAGATGTTGAAAAGCAAAGCCATTCAAGGCTTCTTTGGTAGGATTGAAAGAAAAACAATATTTTCATATGTCGAAAATTATTTGGTTTGGGGGTAGATGAAGAAAGAAGAGGAGATGTTTAAAGCCTTTTAACTTTTGATTTTGTGTCTTGTTTTTAGGTTTAATGGTGGGCTTGGCAGTGCTGAGGGGGCAGCTGGACTCGATCTTAGAGAGCTTTTCCAATCTAAACAATTCTATGATTCTATGATTTCATGATGCCATGATTCTGTGATTCTGTCATTCCATGATTCCACAATTCTATGATTTCATGATTCTATGATTTTATGATTCTGCAATTCTATGATGTCAGGATTCCATGACTTTCTGATTCTGCAATTCCATGATTCTGTGATTCCTTGATTCTCTGATTTCCTGTGCCCGTGATTCTCTCCTTCCATGATTCCATGAGTCAGGGCAGCCCTCCATTGCTGCCTGAGTCCCTTGGAGAGCTACCCTGTTTCTCACCATCTCCTCACTGAATTCAAAACCCCTGGTTCAGGGATTCAGCCCCACCTTCTCCCCAGCTGGGCAGTCTGAAGCTCCTCTCCAGTGACTCCAGCACCTCCTTCGGGAGTGTGGCCCTTCCAGATCTCCTGTTTCCCTCTGTTTCATGTACAAACCACCCTGTGCTTTCCCTGTGGGCCCCGGGTGAGAAGCAAAGCTTGTACGGAGCAAAGGGATCAGGATGCTCAGGACAAGCTCCTTCCATCCCGCTCTGAGCCTAGGGGAAAAGTCTGGCCCAGTTCTGGGCGTGAAGAGCTCTGGAGCTGGTTTTTTATCTCGCACACAACCATGTCAAGGAGAGGGAAGGAGAGGAGAGGGAAAGCGAGAGGAGGCACTTCCCAGGGCTTCTCTTCGCCGGCGCCCAGCAGAGGGCAATCGAAGCAAATGGAAGAGACGAGACCTGGCGATAGAGGTGCAAGAGGAGCAGATTCCAGGCCAGAGCGACCTGGAAGCGGAGGGATGTGCAAGAGGGTGCACAGGCAGAGGGATGCGATGAGGGAAAATGTGCACCTGGAGCGCTGGGCAGGGAATAGGGCTGGAGCGGTGCTGGAGAAGGAGGTCGGAACAAAACAGGGCAATTCAAGGCTATTTTTGTAAGAACTAAAGTGATGTTTTTCTAACTCCAAAATTATTCTCTTTGGGGTTGAAAGGAGAAGGAAGGGGAAATGTTTAACCATTTTGTTTAAAATTTCTTGATTTTAGGTCAGTGTTTATGAAAAGCGCTGCATGACTGACCACCTTCAGCAGATGTTGCAGGTAGGAAAGGCTTGGATTTTATTGCACCTGGTCCATTGTGTGACCAAGCCCAGCTCAGTTTCTGGATGCTCTGGTCTCTCAGAAATCAAATTCCATCATAACCACACGTGCCTGAGGGGAAACACCAGGGAAAAGTTGGGCACAGCATCCCTTCCATG